AAAAGAAAAAATCTCCATTAAAACAATGAAAAGAGACTATATCAGATTAAGAGAGAGAGAGAAACAATGAAAAGAGACTATATCAGATTAAGAGAGAGAGAGAGAGAGAGAGAGAGAGAGAGAGAGAGATGGATATGGTGGTCCACATATGGCGCTTTGTAGTTCCGTGCCGCTTTTAGAGTTCATGATCACGTATGGTGCCTTTGGACTTTCATGGCTTCATGCTTCTTCCATTTGTCTTTTATTCAATCGATGAGTATTTCATATAATTGTATGTTTTTGGTGGGATCCAAGAAAGTAGTAGTTAAGAAAAATGAAATAAATAAAGAGAAAACACTTGACTTAAGTAGCATGCAAACAAACAATAGTCACATGACATGAAACTTGGCACTATCAATTCCTATATAAAAATGGGACGGCGTGGTTATTAACTTAATGGATGGTACCTCCTTAAGGCCTGATTTTGGTTCTAAAATTTTAGGAGATCTATGTTCTAAGCTATGTTCATCGTGAATGTTAAAAAAAACAAATTAGAATTTTTTTTAAAATTTTTTTTATCTTCGATTAATGGTGAATGTTAAAAAAAAAAAAAAAATTAGAATATTTTAAAATTTTTTTTTTATCTTCGATTTGGGTGCTCTTTTCTTAGTTCGATGGTAAAAATCATGGGAAAGCTTTCTATGTTCTTTCTACAACATAGAAGTTCTATCCTCCACTTACCATCCAGTTGTCCATTTATGATCAAGAGAGCCACTCATTGTTTAATCTTAGATTCAACGTCTCAAAATATTTTATTTTTAGTTTTTTTAATATAATTTTTTTGAATATGAAATTTGGTACTGCCATCTTCTCATTGGGGCGCACCTATAAAAAATATTAAAAATAATTTTTTGATTAAAAATAATAACCAAAATACCCCTTGAAAATTTCAGAGGTATTTTGGTCATTTTATTTTATTGAAAATATTTTTTTTATATTTTTCGTTAGTGCTAGTTTAATAAAAGAATGGACGTCCAAAATTTGATATCGAAACAATTTATAGAAAAAATTAAAAATAAAACAGTGTAGAGATGTGATATTGTGATTGGGGCAATCTTAGCCCTCCATTAAAAAATAGACGGTTGGATAAGGGGAAAGATAGAACTTCTATGTTGTAGGGGAACATCGAAAGCTTTTCCAAAAATCATTTTCCTAAATACTTTTGAAATGGCGCATATTAACAAAAATTGGTTTAAAATGCCAATTTTCCATAAGGGATAAGTTTATATAGAGCCTAGACTCTAAACAATCAAATTGGAACCTACCTCAAAACTTTTATTAGAAGGAGTTATTTTAATGCCCAAATATCATCACATTGATCATCTCCATATCACGATGCATGGACATGAGAAAAAAATGGATTTCAAGTTTTATAAAGGGTGTATCTTGTAACGCATTTTCGGATGGTCAATTTTCAATATTTTCAAGTTTTCATAGATCTGCTCAATCTACACTGTTTTTTAAGCTTTAAATTTTATAACTAAAAATGAAAATATAATTTAAGACTATCACAAAACTTCCCAGTATTCAAATTATATTTCTCAACACTATTTGAAGGTAGGCTCTAATTTGATCACTTAGAACCTCGGCTCTATACAAACCACACCCTTTTCTTAAAGGGTTTTGTTCATGTCACGTATCAACCGTAAGCCATTAAAATAAGGTGCACCTCCAAATCTTCTTAAAAGATGTATATTACTGCCATAAATTTTTAGGATGCCGTTGATCGATGTGTTTGTTATCACAATACACGGCTGTATACAATTAAGCAATTTGTAGATGAATTCAAGAGGCAATCTCAAAAGGTCAGTGTTGAGCGGACGCCAGGTTTATATTTGGTGGATGATAGGCGTGATAATGGGGGATAACGAAGGCAGGATTTGTTATACGTAGGGTCCTATATGCCTCGAAAGTCTCGATCCCCAGTCAGTATCTATCTTTGACTCTCGACTGGTTATCAAAGACTATCAAGCCATCTCGGTTTTGAGACAAGTTCTTATTCTCATATTTTCAAAGCCCATATATGCATTTTTCACATAATATTGGAAGAGTTTGGATACAATTCGATATGTTTTCGAATTCGTCCTCTGTCAAAAAGGGGTTTGACAACCGGACTTTGGGAAAACATCAAGGAATCATATCACAATGAGGTATAATATGTCAAATATACTTAATGAGGCATTATATGCCTCTAGTCCAAGAATCATACAAATTGGACATCATCTGATTCATCATGTGGAATTCATTGGCATTCAAGATATGCATTGACTGACGACCCCAATGTGATATTTTGGGAATTGACCGAAAAACTATTGGGAAATCATATTTGAGGTATTATATCTATCATTCCAAAGTTTTAAGTCATTTGAAGATAATTTGACCCCTCTTCCATATCCATCGGTAGCTGACTCTTAGATGTTGTCTGTCAGCTAAATAGTCAAGATGACATCAAGTCACTAAATTTGAGATTCCTCCCAATCTATAAAGAGTTACCTTATGGGATTTGGACCATTCAATCCTTGAATCGAGACCCTATCAGCCATATGAGGGCGATACTTTGTGAGACTCTCGTTTTAGAGTGGCAAACTTTACAATAGCAGTTATGAAAACCGTGCAGAATTTTGACCATCACAGTTGGCATTTGGGAATGATGTAGTAGTGGCATTGTTGTCGGTCTCTTTTCCTGTTCTCCTTTCTTTTCTGCTCTGTATTTCCAGTCTAAAGTGGCAGGAGGGCATTCAGTCACCCTTGCCGTTATCGGTGACATCTTTGACACCAGCGCCAAAACAAAGACTGTATGTTGGTTTCTAGTAGGTGTTGATAGTGATGCAATGGCCATAGGTGTTAGCACAACTTTCATCTTCGTTGGCCTTCAGCCACCTCGGACTGCTCTAATTTTGCATGGTAGCATAGCTTAGGCTAAAACTGCTTTCCTGCATACTTGTCTGCCTCCTTGGCAGACCAAAACAAAGGGTCTCTACCCCCTCGGTTCTGTTCTCCTCCGGGAAGAGTCTCAATTGCTTCCGTGTGTGTCCGGCATGAGCCGCGTCTTTCACTTAGACCGTGCGTGCCTTTGGTTGGTTTCCAAAATGAATAGTACCTCACACTCACCGCCACACTTTTGCATATGCACTGCTACTATCTGATACCCTTGCTCACACACATGGGGCATGGCATGAGTGAAAAACATATTTTAAAGTTATTTTTCTAAAAACCTGTATCTGGCCTTAAAGTTTCCAGAGCAGGCACCTAGTTCCTAGAGGAAGGGCAATTGGGAGAGCGAGCCATAAATAGGAGCACACCTTTTTATTTATTAAAGCATATCCAATATTTAAAAACAAAAAAAATGGAAACCATTTTATTTATTTTTCAATTTATTTAAAATTTTAGAAATTTAAATAATTTCCGTGCTTTAAGAGTAATCAACAGCTTATTTTTATTTTTTTTTTGAATAAAAATAAAATTTACTTCTATTCTATTTTCGATAACTCCATTCTTTCATATTATAAAAGCAGTTTTAAAGCCTTTTACATTTTGGTTATTTACTTTTTATTCTTTTAGACATCATGCATGACTCATTTTGCTATTTTTTAAGAGCGCATCTAAACTATGCTCCCTCAGAAGCATAGTTTACTTATACTCCCTCCATCATAAAGGTTTTTTTAATATTAAATTTTGGGAACCACTTAATAATAACTAGATGACTACTTCAAAAAACAAAAAAAAACAACCAAAACTCAAAGTTTTTTAACAATTAGATTTCGCCATCTAGAAATTGAATGCTCTGGATCCAATCTTGAGACATTGTTGTTTCAATTAACTAGATGACTACTTCAAAAAAAAAAAACAACTAAAACTTAAAGTTTTTTAACAATTAGATTTCGCCATCTAGAAATTGAATGCTCTCGATCCAATCTTGAGACATTGTTGTTTCAATTAACTAGATGACTACTTCAAAAAAAAAAAACAACTAAAACTTAAAGTTTTTTAACAATTAGATTTCGCCATCTAGAAATTGAATGCTCTCGATCCAATCTTGAGACATTGTTGTTTCAATTAACTAGATGACTACTTCAAAAAAAAAAAACAACTAAAACTTAAAGTTTTTTAACAATTAGATTTCGCCATCTAGAAATTGAATGCTCTCGATCCAATCTTGAGACATTGTTGTTTCAAGTCCATCAAGGGTACAATTCAAAATCCATAGATTGAAAAGATTACATTCCCAAATTTTGAGGTCATAGGGGTTTTACTAAAGGGGATATCTTTTGTCTTTTTTAGGTAGTTTTTAACATGTACGATCAAAGTATTATTTAATAAAAAAAAAATTTATGGACAGTTGTAAAAAATTGATCAATCCTCTACCTGTCATCTCATATTTACATATGGAAAAAGTACATATAAGGTCGAGGCCTTAAATAATTAAATTAAAGTGTATCTCAAAAATTTATTAAAAAAAAATTATTTCAATCCTAAAAAATCCACCCATGGATCATCTCGATGTCAAGAGGTATGGACATGAAAAATTGAATTTGAAGCTTTAGATAAAGTCAATCTTGTAATGTATTTTTAAACGGTCAATTTTCTAGATATTTCAAGTGTTGATAGATCTACTAGATCTATACCAATTTTTTAAGCTTTGAAGTTCATAATTATAAATAAAAACAAAGTTTCAAGCCACAAAAAAGATTTTCAGTTTCGAAAAACATATCTCGACGTTATTTAAAGGTGCACCTTATTTTGATTGTTCGGAGCCTAAAGAGAATGAGCTGGAGCCTTTGTGGTAGCGCTATGGTGAAAGCCTGTGATTCCATTCTCACCAAAAGGGCAGGCCCAAACCCCCACTTATTTCTTTTGTTTGTTTGTATGTTTTTTTATTTTTTTGAAGCCGCACCCTTTAAGCTATTTACGGAAAAGGCTGCATGTTGGGGATAAGGTAGGGAAATTTAATTACAAAAAGGGACATGGAACTTATACGTAGAGAGGGAGAGAGCCAATCGTACCCCCAATAAAGACCGCTCCTTTCTCCATAATTCGAGGAAAATTCACACCCATCCACCTGACTGTGATAAATCAGCAATGGAGAGGGGGTGTGAAAGCCCTCTTCTGGTGAAGAGAGAGGAAGAGGAGGAGAGAGAGAAGGGAGTTGGAGAGAGGTTTTGGGATGAGTCTAAGAAGTTATGGAGGGTGTCTGCTCCTGCCATATTCACCAGGGCCTCAACCTTTGGGGTTTCCATGGTAAGTCAGGCTTATATCGGCCACATCGGAGGCGCCGCGTATCTCGCCGCCTACTCCCTCACCTTCACCGTCCTCATCCGCTTCTGCAACGCCGCCATGGTACCCCCTATCTCTCTCTATTTATCAATCAATCCTACGTTGTTTGAAGCTTAAAACTTAGTCTTATGATACATTTTCCTTCTCTGCAATCTATCTGTATATCATCATGAGCGGTGCATCTCTCCATTCTCTGTCTACATCGATTTTGGCCTGACTTGTAATGAATCTCAAAAGTTCAAAGCAAGAATCGGAATAAATGGGGTTTGTTGGCAATTTATTTTTTACATTAATTTAGTGTACAGAGTTTACAGGATCGCCTCGGCCAAGGCGAGTCCGAGTAGTCTCAGCCCGAGTTAGGTACACCCAAAAACAACTGCAAAAAAAAAAAAAATTCAAAGGTAACAAATTTCTAAAACTCATTTCAACAATCAGAATCAAATAATTAATAGGAATCATTAGGAGACCAAATATGATGAAAACAAGCAATAAAAGATGGATTATCGAAATTTATATTTATATCGTGAATATTTTAAAATTTTTTTATAAAAGTTTCCCAATGATCTAAAAAACTAGCAAACTTTTCTAAATAAATATTTCTAACAAAAAAAACTAGCATTTTCTCATCTTTTTATATCTTCACGTGTTCTTATAGTTTTTAGCAGTTATTTGGGCCCTATCCATTTGGCCACATAACTTGCCACGAAGTCGCCTTGCTACTGGCAATGGCCTGGATGGCCTAGCCCGCTGGATGGCCTAGCCCGGGTCTGCTGAAAATGAGGGCTTGGGCCACAGTTTGTGGCCCGGACCAATCGGGGCCAGGCTTGAGCCAAGACACACCCGAACCCGAACCCGGCTCTTATTTTTTTTCTTTTTTAGAATTTTATTAGATAGGGCCTTTTTGAGAGGTCCAGAATTCTATTAAATTGATTAATCATAGGCTCTGTATAAATATATAGCGTTAAAAATAAATACCAATAATTATGAATTGATACCACCTAATCTTATTAAAAGATATGTAACGTATTGTTACATATCATAATTTTATCAAGAGATATCTATCCATATAGATGATATGTATCAATACATATCCATACGATGACACAACTTACTTAGTGGTGTCAAAAAAGAGTTAACTAAGTCCCGTAACACACTACTAAAAAAGAGTAAAGACTAGCGTTTAAAAAAACATTTACTGTCCCAAATCACCGTATATTGATTTTATTATTTTTTAACCTTGAAGTATTAAAATAAACATGGTCAAATAGACCGAGAAAGGTTCATTACCTCTGCGTTGTACTTAACAATTAATATCGTCACTGATTACGTGTTCGAGTAAGACGTGCTTCATGCCTGCGCCAGAAACACAAACGTACGCCTGCCTCACCTCGCAAATAATTGACTCTTTATAATTTTTGTCGTCATTATAAATTATCTTATCCGGGATATAATTTTTTTAAAAAAAAATTACAAAAAAAAAACTTCCTAAACTAAATTTAGTATACAATTTACCTCTAATTAATTTTTTTCTCTCACTTTTTTTCACAAAATAATGTTTCCTAACAAATACCCCCAACCATCCAAAAAATTAAAAAAAAAGTAAAATTACCCTTATTTTACCATTTACCCACACCTCTCTCTGGCATTGTGTAAATGCGCTTCGGCATTACGTAAGTGCGCTCCGGCAATAGAGCATTCTGAGTCATAGGGCTTCGATACTATTTAATTGCGTTCCGGCAATGTGCTATGGGAATGGCACAGCACTCCAACACTATGTATGTGCGTTCCAACAATGTGCTAAGGGAATGACACTTCTTTTCGACACTACGTATGTGCGTTTCGGCAATGTGCTAAGGGAATGGCACAGCGCTCCGGCACTACGTATGTGAGCTCCGACAGTGTAACACAGCGCTCCGGAACTGTATAAGTGCGCTCTGGCAGTATAACACAGCGCTTCGGCACTGCGTAAGTGCGCTCCGACAATGGAGCATTCTGAGTCACAAGGTTTCGGCACTGTTTAAGTGCGCTTTGGCAATTTGCTATGGGAAGGGCATTTTCGTCTAAAAGAATGAACTTTTTCCCTTGTGGGGTATTTGTATAAAAAGCTTGTTTTTGAAAAAAAGTGAGAGAAAAAGTTAGTTGGGGTAAGTTGCATAAAAAATATATTTTGGAGGGTTTTTTATAATTTTCTTTATTTTTAGTTTTTTAGTTTTTATCTCTTTTCTTTTCTTTCTTTTATTCTTTTGGCAAAGATCACTTACAAATAGTCTTATTACAACAACTCTTGCTTCAAAGAAAATAAAACTAATAAATTCAAGATCTTAAAAATCTTGGTGCCACTAAACCAATTTTTTTTTAATCAAAGAAAATAACCATAATTCTTATACTATGAATATAAAGACTATAATATTAAATATGGCAAAAAACAAAAAGAGAGTGTCCGGGATTACTACAACTATGCTTCTTACACCCCACACTGAGTCACCACCATCCGATGGCATGGGATCAACGATCAACCTTTATTCCCAACCGGAAAAGCAAGTTTAGGCCAAACCCTTCAATGGAACTATGAATTCCTCTTAGATCACAAATCTCAAACTTAGGTTCAAACTCACAAAACTTACTAATTTCGGGCAATCCTTGCAGGGCCTCATTAGTGGGTCACCAAAGTTTGGTTGATGAGTCAAGGGGTCGTAATCCCAGTTTGTAGATTTCAAGTTCTCTTTTAGAGACGTATAAAGGTCACCTAGACTGGATGCGACCACAACTCTCATTCCTCTAGAGACGTATCAAGGTCACCTATACCTGATGCGACCACAGCTCTCATAACTGATACGGGTATTTATCGCACATGCATAAGCTTCATCCTGAAAGATGGTTTGCTTTTCCGAAACGTGGTTTGCTTTCCCGAAGCGTGGTTTGCTTTCTCGAAACGACTCTCATATATGCATGTCGTGTGATGGCTCACGTATGAGGCTTTGGCCCCTCGTCTTTGAAGGCTACCATAACACACTAGGGTCAAGCAGTCCCTTGGCTCATTCATCCGTACATATTTTGACCTCATCAAGGGATGACGTATTAGAACCCTTATCAGATAGTTTTTGATGCCCAGGTAACATAGGTTTTTCTCAATCAACTGGTCTAACGCGTCAAGCTCAGTTCGGTATTAGCAAACATCATTTGCTTAGCATGGTTCAAACAAGATCATACTCCCATTGAGTTCATGTTCTATTATATCAAAATGTTTATTACAAGCACTCATAAGGCCTTTAATGGCCACAATCACCCAACATTATCATCACAATCTTTTTATAATTAATTGGGTTAATTGGGGTCGGCTACACGATTCCTGATCCGCTATTCTGGTCTATTTAAGGCCATACCTTCAACGAGGTCCTAAGCCCCTATATCTTTTTGGACCACTTCCAACCAGATCTTTTTGGACCTCCTCCTTGCCCTTTTCAATCCTTCCACTTGAACTTACTCACACCTCTTAACAGGTGTTGTATTGGGTTGATGTCACATATGATCAGGCTACCTAAGTCTACACTCTGTCATCTTATCGCCTATTGGTGCCACACCTAAACTTTCCAGAATGGATTTATTTCGAATTATATCCCTTTTTATCTTGTCGCTCATCCATCTGAACATCATCATCTCCGCTATACTCATTTTATGGATATATTGTTTTTTATCTGTCCAACATTTCACCCCATAAAAACAAAGCTAATCTCATAGCTGTCCTATAGAACTTACCCTTTAGCTTTATTGGTATGCGGCAATCACATAAATTTTCAGTTGCGCATCTCCACTTCTCTTACCCAGCTTTAATTCTATGTACGACATCTTCCTCAATCTCTCTATTTTTTTGGATTATCAACCCAAAGTATCGAAAGTACAGTTATTTTTGTACTTCATGGCTGTCAATCTTAACTACTTCTTCGTCTCTACTCCTATTATTACTAAACTTGCATTTCATAAACTGTCTTAGTTCAACTAATTTTAAAACCGTTATTCTAGAGCATCTCTTCAAAGTTCTAACTATGTGATCAAGTGGCTGGGTATATATCATTGATTGGGTATAAAATCTAAAATGAAAATTTCCCATTTTGTGACACACTTCAAGCTATCAGATATCAAACCTGATGGTTAAAGGCAATTGTGACCTCCGTACAACAAAAGTAGAACATCTCATAGTATACAATCCCTAATTGAAATATGCATTTGAATATACAATAAATATTAAAAATGATTGTATACCATGAGGTCATATATTTATAGTACATAGAAATTACAATTATTCTTAGCCATTGGACATAAAATCTGACAGATCAAAATGTGTCATATAATTCACGAAATTTTGTTTTCGTACCTAGTCAATAATATCCTCTTAACCACTCAATTTCATATCCAACAGCAAGTAATAATTATTTTTTTATTATTAATAGCAAATAATTGTTGTCACTTTCAAAAATAAATGGTCTTATTATATTTATTTTCATATTTAAAATAGCCTTGAGAAGGCCAAAACAAAATATTCTTTATTTATGATGTTCTCAAAATTTCACGTCAATGATAAGGAACCCCATATTTGTTGTTTGCATCAAGGACAAGGGCATCTGTCTTTTACAATGTGTAAAAAACGTTCTCAATTATGTGTTTTCAATTTTTGTGCGTTGGTGGAACCTTTGTATAGAAAAGTCAAATTGGACATTGATTCCAAAAACAAATCTTTTTTTAAAGTGATTCGTCGCATCAAGTCTCTTTTCCTTATGCTCTTATTATTTTATTCGGAGACATAACGTCTCTTTTGCCTTTAACCCTCACTGTTTTCTTCATAAAACAAGTCACGTTTGGGAAGGCGGCTGGGTTTTATAGTACCCGCACACCTTAATCACCGTGGTTCTTATTCCCACCAACGTCATTTATTATCATTTTTAAAAAACTAAATTTTAAATTATTTAAAAATAATGAGCAGAGATCAATCTTCCCCCATAAATTATCCAAAAAAAAAATTGATATTATATTCCACTTAGTTCTTTAGGGATGGATGTCTTGGGCGTTGTTTGATTTCATGGCTGGGTAACTGGCTTGAGGATGGATGGCTTGGGCAGTATTTTATTGGACGACAGTGTTTGATTGCAGCTGACAGAGCTAAAAAAGGATTAAAAAATAAAAACATTCAAAAAAATCTCAAAAAATAAAAAGGTATTTTAAAAGTATATTTAAACAAATTACATCTAAATGAGATTAGTAAAAAACATGATTTAAAAAATCAATTTGTGCCCAAAAATATTTTAAAAATAATTTTAAAAAAATGAAAAAAATGTAAAAATAAACATATAAGGTCAAAGTACTTCCCAATATCGGAAATTCAGAGATTTTACTATAGAGTAATGATCCTATAGGACCTTTCCCACCCATGTGTGTAGGATTCAAAAGGATCACCATTAAATTTGGTACGGATCTCTAGAAAAGTTATCACATGGGTGTGGGATTTGATTTTTTTAAATATCTGTGCTAAATTTAATGGTGATTCTTCGAGATCCTACACACATAGGTGGGAGCGGGTCCTATAGAATCACTTATCTTTATTATATTCTTATCATTTTTAAATTCTAACATTCTCAATACTGTGTAATTCTTTATTGGGTAATTTTTTATGAAACATTTTTTTTTGCAGTTTTTTTAGTGACAAATAAATAGTAACATTTTGAAATTGACGAGAGGGAAATTGGGGTTGCCGATAGAGGAAGGAGAGTGGGAAAGATAGAGGGAGAGAGGAGGATAGAGAGAGAGAGGAGGATTGCAGGTTGAGAGAGAGAAAAGGCGGAGAGAAAAACAGAGGACAAGAACTCATCTTTTGGTTCCTCTTTACTAGCTTCTAAGTTCTAACTTAATAAAAAACGAAAAAGGTTTTTCGTGAAATTGTTTTTCGAAAAATATTTTTATATGAAAAAAGTTCTCTCGTGTGATTAAGTGTGAGATAATTTTTGTGTCAATTAGTTATTAGTTACCATTTGGTGTGAAAAGATGGTATGAAAATATTCGCACACTTAACCACATAAAAGAATTTTTTCATGTGAAAATGTTTTCAAAAAAACAATTTCACATGAACCAAACATGCCAATCTCTAGTGTTTTTGCCCTTTGGGAGGCATCAACTCAGACACAAGCGGTTCGATTCGAACTCGCGTGAGTCAATTGGAGCACCCAAAACCCGAGAACCGAGTTTCCTAAAACCTGTAGGTACTAAGCAAGTAAAGAATGTGTTTCAGTTGGGCATGGCAAGCGGGCTAGAGACACTATGCGGGCAATGCTATGGCGCAAAGCAGTACCACATGCTCGGCATTTACCTGCAAAGATCATGGGTAGTTCTCATGGGAGTATCCCTCTTCCTCCTCCCCCTCTACCTCTTTACAACACCCATTTTAGAAGCAATTGGGCAAACATCTGAGATAGCGGAGGTGGCCGGGTCCGTCGCCCTATGGTTCCTTCCCATCCATTTCTCCTATCTTCTCTCTTTCACTTGCCAAATGTACCTACAAGCACAGTCCAACAATAAGGTCATCGTGTGGTTTGCGGCTGCAGCCATCGTGGTGCACATCGTCATGTGTTGGGTTCTTGGAAATGGGCTCGGGTACGGTGTCACGGGTGTCTTGTCATCGAATATCGTTGCTTATTGGATTCCAGTGATTGGTCAGCTGATCTACATATTTGGTGGGTGGTGTCCTCTAACTTGGACTGGGCTCAGCATGGCGGCATTCCATGATTTGTGGCCAATTTTCAAGCTCTCTTTATCATCTGGGGTCATGATATGGTATGTTATCTATAAATTTTCCTTTATTTTAGGTTTTGATTATGGTTTTGCATTTGTTTCTATGTAGGGCTTTCATGGGGATTGCCTTGTCCTGAACAGGGCTCCAGCCTGGTTGTCCTGGCTGGGCTGGGCTGGGCTCAGTTGGGTAAAGGAAACACTAGGTAGGGTGGACATATGGTCCTGGCCCAGACTCAATTCGTCCTAGTTCTCGTCCAGGCTTGGGCTGGGTCGCCTCACATATTTCCAGCCCTATTTGTATTTTGTAATACTCATAACTATTCGATTAAGTGTTTCTTAGGCTCAGAGTAATTGTGGGATCAATCTCCAAATTTGGGATATCAGTGGTTTATTTTTTGAGTAAGTTTTGACCCAAATGCATTTACATTGAGTCTTATTTCTTAAATGTTTCGAATGGTGGGAACAGCTTGGAACTATGGTACAACACTATATTGGTGGTACTTACTGGAAACTTAAAGGACGCAAAGGTTGCCATAGACTCGCTCGCTATTTGGTAATGTCGCATTCTATCATGTAATTTGTATTGTGTGTGTGTTGAAGTATGTGTGTGTATGAGAGCGAGGCCGACATTCTCTGAAAAATTCCCCGTTTCTTTGTGATTTTCATTTTATAATTATCCTTGGAGCCGATGTTAATAACCATGAGAACAGAAAGCTAACCATGCTCTTCTTGTGTTACAGTATCAATATGAATGGTTGGGAGATGATGATTGCTGTTGGCTTCCTTGCAGGTGCAAGGTAACTTTCCAGCAACCTCATGCTTTCAGCTCTTTGTATTTACCGCAAGTCAGATTGGGATTTGAAAAAGCATCATCTGACTCAGAATGTGCAAGTCGGATCGGGATCTGGAGCCGGTCCATTTTGAATGGGAAATTCATGGAATTGCCCCATCTTATTTGAATTTCTCATATATTTTATTCTTTTTGCAAATTGTAACTCTCACTCAGGAATCATCCTATTCAGCCTGGGATAATCAGAACCAGATCCTTATTGATTCAAGGATTGAGTCCAATTTTTGAAACAATGCTGAAAACCTTTTCTTCAGTTTTGTTCTTTCTTCATTTTCTTTATGCTACGTGCTAATTTTACAATATTGCAGTGTGAGGGTAGCAAACGAGCTGGGCGGCGGGAATGCAGGTGGTGCAAAATTTGCAACTATGGTAGTTTTATTTACATCCTTTGCATTGGGTTGTGTGCTTTGGGTGTTCTTCATGGTGTTTCGGAAGGAGGTGGCCTACATATTTACAGATGACAAGCAAGTCCGAGATGCAGTCATTGACTTGTCATTTCTCCTAGCCTTCTCTGTCCTTCTCAATAGTGTCCAACCAGTCCTATCCGGTAAGTCACTGCATTCTATAATTCATATTAGTGATAATCTTTGTGTTATTAAGATCGGATCGGCCAGTCTGACTAGTTAAACAACCAATAAAGATCTTTATTTGTTTTTTCCGAAACAATAATCTATTTTGGTTGAAAACTAATAAAAACCGATGTTTAACCCGCTTCTTTATGTCGGACTGAGCGCTTTTGATAAGTTAGAACAACAAAACAATGTGGGGTAGTAAGAATGGGGCTCTATGTAGAAGTGGCTAGAGTCATGGGTGGCACATGACATTGGAGTTCCACTCCAACCAGGTCTCATCTTAGTATTCCAAAAAGTAATAATATTTCATCTTTTAAGCACTTGTTCTAGTTTTTTAATATAATTGTAAGATCATGGCTAACCCGTTAAATTAGTAGTAACCTCCATCTGATTTGACGACCAGAATAGTCTAGCTAATTCTAATGTTCGATATTGTTCTTGAATCTTGAAAATATAGAGCAAAATGGTCATCAAGTTCGCTGGTAGAGGGGATTCTTTTGTTACTTTTTTTTGTGAAGAAAGGATTAATTGACTAATGTCAAATCTTTCTGATTAGGGCATTACTTTCACCTCCATACTCCTCTGTCTCACTCCCCATTTTCCCACTTCCCACCTTTTTTACTTCGAGGGCTATAACTGCAATTAATATAGTTTTAGTTCCTAGTTTTCCAAGGATAGCCTTTGGACTAAAACTACAATTAAGAATATAAAACTAAATTTGTCGTCAAGATTCTCTATGGTCGAACCGATTGGATTGGATTTTGAGAAAAAGAAAAAAAACTAGGAAAAAGAGCTAAAAGATAAAATACTTCACAAAAGAAGTTGTCCGCTTTAGTTCAACAGGTTAAATAAGACAAAAATGACATCTTCATCTAACCAAAACTGATCAAACATTAATTTTGATTGATTTTTAACCAAATCAACCAATCTTTTCGACGAAACTAATAAAGGCATCAATCAACTCTCCAACAATTTGAACTATAGGGCTGTTCCAATCATGATAACACTATGGTAAAATGTTCATCCCATTAGTCTACACCATCTAAGAAATTATAAATGGTGCATGCTTCAGGGTGAAAAGATATAGTATGGTCTACTCTCCTAATTCATTTCTTTCTCATGTTTCCATTGCTCACTACCCTAAGCCCTCACCTCATACACAATAAAACTGGGAATTACATTAATTTGGACTTAGTGCTTTGTATATTTTCTAAAAACATAAAATTGAGAACTCTTTTATTGTATAAACTAATAAAGTTGGATGTGACCAGGGGTAGCTATTGGGGCCGGTTGGCAGTCAACTGTGGCTTATGTGAACATCACTTGTTACTACATCGTTGGGATTCCCCTTGGATTGATACTTGGATATTTGTTTGACAAAGGTGTAAAGGTCAGTATTACTTTTTTTTTTTTTTTTTTTGTTGATTTTCATAATATGGACTTTTTATTCTATGATTTGTTTTTTATAAAAAAAATTTAGGAATATTGAAATTAACGTGCCGAGTTCTTTGGCCGAGGTTGATTACTAGGCTGAATCTTGCATAGGGTTCAAAAGCCCTCAATAAATTGTACAAAAAAGAAAAATAAATTTTTTTAAAAAAATAATATATTCTTCTTTTTTTTTGAGCTAAAAATGAATATTTAAAAAGAAAAATAAAGCAAAAAACAACATATAGGAAGCCAAATAAGCTTGAAAAGTAATTAAAAAAATGGATTTAGAGAAATAAAAAAGTTAAAGTAATGCCGAGACTTCATGGAAAAAAGTAAAGTCTCACCTCTAAACTCACCAAAAGTTATTGTTCTGACGTAAAAAACCTTCAAATCGATCATCTTAACCTTGGTCATTATAGTTGTAAAAAGAATTAAAATTTCAAGCCCTGAAAATAATTTGTAATGTAACACATTATTAGGCTGTCCATTCTTAAGCGTTCGTGGATTTACAAAGTTTGACCTTTTTTGAGCTACGAATTTTATAATCAATGGTGAAAATGAATTTTACGTTTTCAATGCCCAAAGTATTTCTCCCACAAGATTTTGAGTTGAGGCTTTACTTTTTTTTCTTTCACAAACCTTAAAAACCATGTTTATAGTAAGGGCATTTTAAAAAAAATCCAAAAAAAAGAAATTTAAAAATAGGGATCTATGGCAATAAATACTCGTCAAGCTTTACTTAAAAACATATAAATCATGCACCAAAAAGGTTATAGATCAATCCCATAACCTCGATCCCACATGTTTATGATGTTTTTGGAATTTTTATATTTTCTTTAACATCCCCAAGTTGTACACAACTTGGAGAAACTCAACCTCACCCTCTAGAGTGAGTCATGAGTGGAATCGGCCGAGTCCCGACACATTGTTGAATTTTCCATAAAATATTTTGAGAGAGAAATATTAGCACCAATACTAATCCTACAAGTTCTATCTGTAAGTTAACATAAAAACACAAATTATCTATTTCTTTTGTAGGGTATTTGGATTGGAATGTTATGTGGTACAGCGGCTCAGACCCTGGTTTTGGCTTTCATAACATATAGGACGGATTGGAATAAGCAGGTAAGGAGAAAGTTTTATCTTTTGATTATTTCTCCTTCTATTTATTTATCTATAAAAAATTACATAAATAGATCATTTATCTTTGATACAAAGAGGTTACAATCATTTTTGTCAATCAGGTGGTTGTAAGAGCATTACTAACTTGACATCTAAAGGTTAAGAATAATTGTTACCTCCTTATAACAAAGATAAATGGTCTCGTAGTGAACAATACATTTATTTATATGCTTATCTATTTATTAAACAATCGGACTACCTAAATTCGATCCTATTTTTCACCCATGGTCAAAATTGAAATAGGACTAAGGATGAAGGGCAATAATTTTTGTCTCCACAAATCACATGCTCACCAACTAAACAGAACAAAGGAATCGAAGGTGGTTGAGACTGTCGGACAAAGTTCTTTCTTACAGTAAAAACGTAGTGATTTCCACTACCATAAAATGGGTAGTTTGTGCAAAAACAATTAGAACAAAGGAAATTTTACCAAAAACAAACAAATTCGCACTTTATTATCAAAACTAAAAAATAAAATAGTTATGGGTATTTACTTTATTATCAAAACTAAAAAATAGTCATGGATATTTTATATTTTTCCCACATTTTGAGACTATACATTTTATTTTAGTTTTATTTTCCTTTCTATATATCAGATTGATCTCATATTTTATTGGAGATAAATATGTAAAATTGATAATCTAACAATAAGCCCAAGGAATCATGTGCAATAATATTAGGACAAATAAATAAGTGATGAAATCATTAAATCATTAAGGAAATAAAAGAGACAAAACACAACACTAAATATAGCGTAGTTCACCCCGGAGGGCTACATCTATGGGCAAACGGCAAGTAAAGTTTTACTATCAAAAGAGAAATTTATAAGTGGGATACAATGTTACTTCAATAAAAAAAAACGGGTGATAAAGTTCACCAAAATACCTTCTTAAAACCACAAAAAAACTCACGATTTACCATCATGTTCGTCTACTTCGGATGATCCAATAACATCTCCACAATGATGAAAACAAAATCAACTCCTTCTCCTCTTCCTCTTCCTCTTCCTCTTCCTCTTTCTCACTTTTACTAAATGGAAAACTCTAACCGTTTTTGGAGGGAGAGAAAAGAAGAAAAAATCGTAGTACCAAATGGCCCATTTCTAACTTATATACAAATATTTTTTAGGCAGTGCAAAAATGCCCCCAAAGAATACATGAAAGACAAATGAGTAATTATCTACATTTCACAAATACCTCCTTTTCAGTCTCGAAATTAAGTAACAGCAAGGTGCAAAACTATCTTCTTTCCCTCTTCATAACATAGTAAGGGCAGAGCATGAACTACCTCCTTTCTGTCTCTAAACCAGGTGAAAGCAAAGCTCAAAACAAGATTCATGCGGTGCCCATAGGTGATTTTCTATTACCGTTAACAATCTCCACTTTGATAGTAAATCAAAGAGTTTGCTTTGCTGAAAATTCCCTCATTCACCTTTTCATGAAGCCTAGAGAAGTTAGGTTCCATTCTATCTTTTCAATCGAAACCGTATTCATGAACATATCTGCCAAATTCTCATTGATTCCAACTTTCACCAACAGAACCAAACCTCCTTCAACAACTTCTCGAATATAGTTAAATATTCTCTTGTTTGCATGGCTTCCGGCTTGGAAAATTCGTTTATATTATTTTCAATAGACTCAATGCTCACAAAATACATATTCCTCAAATTTTATGGTAGAAATTAGCTTCCTCTTCATCAAAATCTTCATACCATTTTCACTCAAATGGCACAATCTTCTATGCTATAAACATAATAAAAGATCATTACTCTCCACTACCGAATTTGCTACATCATCAACAATAGAGCTTCCTAATAACTTCTATAAGTTCCCAACTCTAACACCCTTAATCACAACAAGAACACCCTTGGATACTTTAAGACACCACCTTGTTCGGTGAATTTCTATCCATTGGAATCGAATAAAATAAGAGAAATTAAAATTTTCCTCAAGTCTAGTACATATCGAATATTCTCAAGTGTGTGAATACTTCCATTATACATCCTTCATTGCACCATATCAATCCCAACCATTCTACTGCTTGAATTATTCTCCATCAACACTGAACCACCATCACATGGTTCATATGAACTAAACCATAACTTGTGTAGGCACATATGAAATGTAGCATCACTATCCAAAATCCAATAATGATAGAATTTAGTATTGCAACACATGGCATAAACTTCTTCTTCGATGAAAATCGATATAGATTCCTTCAATTGATTTGATTCATTCTTAGACTCATTGATTTCACTTGCTTTTTTGAATATTGTCCCTTCCTTTTTGTAAAATTTTTCCTTATATGGCCGGCTTCACTACATCCCCAATTAACAAACTTGGTTTCCTAACCTTTAGACTTTGGTCTGCCTTTGGACTTACCTCTTATAGAATTTTAAGAAGAACTACCTTTCTCACTTAAATATGTGAACTTTCGATTCCAGCTCTCTAGTAGATGTCGTTTTTTGGAGTTCATGGGCAAACAAGTTACTACAAACAGTACTTATGTCAATTAAATCTTTTTTAATGCAACCTAATGTTGTTACTAAATTTTAATAAGATTCCGACAAAATACACAAAAATGTAAGTACATTATCCTCATCTTTCATTATTTCACCAACACTTTCAAGTTCACAAATAATATTGTTGAAAATGTTTAAATGATCAGGAAGTTTTGTCCCCTCTTTCATCCTCAAACCAAATATTTTTCTCTTTAATAGAACCCTTTGTCATCTTCAACTTCTTCCACAAACCCTTTGTCATCTTCTCTCCTGCTACATTAATAAAATCATATTTGCTAAGCACAACCAAATTGTAGCCATAGCCTTAAGGTTCATTTCTTCCCAATCTTCATTACTCATGAATTCTGATTTCTTTTTCTTTCTGAGTAATGCTTTGTACAGTCTTTATTGGACCAAAAAATCATGAACTTGAATTTTCCATATTTCAAAATCATTTAGTCCATCAAATTTCTTCACAATCCGTCATTCTACGAAATATATTGCACAAAACCTAATGCTCTGATACCACTGGTTGGAGATTCAAATATCCGAACCCCAAATTAACCGATCTCCGAATATTACACACTCAAAACTGAAAACTGTGAAATCAATAATCCAATAACAAGCCCAAGGAATCGTGTGCAATAATATTAAAAAAATTAAAAAAATATAATCACCAAATCATGAGAGGAAATAAAAGAGACAAATCATATCATCAAATATAATGTTGTTCACCGCCTAGGGCTACGTCTACAGGCAAGCTGCAATTAAAGTTCCACTATAAAAAAAAAAAACTTACAAAGGAAATACAATATTATTTCAATGGAAAAAAACCGGTAGAAAACTGCAACAAAATGCCTTCTTAAAACTACCCAAAAACCCATGATTTACCACTGTGTTCCTCTATTTCAGATAATCCAAAAACGTCTCCACAAAGATGAACACAAAATCACCTTTTTCACCTCTTCCCTTTTCTCACTTCTACCAAAAGGAAAACCCTTTTAACTCTTTCTAGAGAGATAAAAAAGGAAAACAAGAAGATAAAATCACATGCCCAAATGGCCCCTTTCTAACTTCTATACAAATCATTTTTAGGTAGTGGCAAAAATACTCCCAAATAATACATGACAGACAAATACGTGATTACCTACTTTTCGAGAATACCTCCTCCTTGGTTTGGAAACTAGGTAACAATAAGGTATAGAATTATCTTCTTTCACTCTTCGTAACAGAGTAAGGGCAGAGCATGAAATACCTTCTTTCTGCCTCTAAATGAGGTAAAAACAAAACATAGAACATGATTCATCAGGAACCCACAAGTGATTTTCTATCACTGTTAACATATTTGAAGAGCTGATACTTCTCACCATCTCAAATCTATAAAATAATAATAATAATAATAATAATAATAATAATAATAATAATAATAAAAAAAAACAACAACAACAACAATAATAATAATAATAATAATAATAAACAACAACAACAATAATAATAATAATAATAATAAATATTTAAAAATATAAAAAAGTGGCAAAAATATCCCTAAAAATTTTAAATTTGTATGGTATTTTGGTTATTTTTATTTAGCTTAATTATATTTTTAAATATTATGGTGAGCAATCCAAAACTTGACTTTAATCAAGTATATAGAGAAGAAATAATTTTAAAATATTTTATTTATAAAAAAGTGGGATTTAAGTATAAATATAAAACATATGAGATGAGACTATTTTTAAATTTAAAAATAAAAAGAAATTTTTCTATTAGTTTTCACAGGAGAAATAAGAAAGACTAATAAATGTAAATTATGTAGTTGTTCTTAATATTGAATATATTTTTAACTACCAAAAATGATTAATTATTTTCCCACTGTTTTGGTGTTTGTAGGTTGAGAATTCAAGAGAAAGAGTGGATAAGTGGTATATGCCATCCACAAAGGCCGAGCCTTCTGCATCCAATGGAAATGTTGCCGGCCAGCAGAATGCTTAGTAGGGGCTTGGAAGGACCTCGACATGGGTGCAATTATCTGTAAAACATGAGCCCACTTCCCAAACTTAGTTTTTATTGTGCTTGCACGTCAATTTAAACGTTGCAAATTGTTAGTATTTTTGCTTTGGAAGTGAAAGGTGGCAATAAATAATGCAAATAAAAAAATTTGTGCAACTATGCATGTGACTCTATTCACATTTCCCCTTACTATGCAAAAGTAATAAAATAAAGCAATTACAAATGAAGGATCCTCACTTAATGGCATCTAATAAACACCCTTTATTAGTAAAAATTAGAAAACAATTCCTAATAAATAACAATGGGAAGCCTTTTAGTGGAAAAAGTTGTCTCGGATCACCTCCAAAGGACTTTAGCATACCTCCAAAGGATTTTAGATCACCTCCAATGGACTTTAGCTTGATTTCTATGACCCCATTTATCATGATGTCATGTTTATACGAGATTTTGAGATTGAGCAAACTAATCAAAGTCCGTGATGTCCGAGAACGTGTACAAATTCAATATTAAGAGTCAGAAGAGGTGGATTATGTTGAGAAATGAGCCTTAAAAGACCTATTCTTTGTAAATATGCAGCTGAGTTGGCTTAGGTAGTGTGAAATCCAAAAGAAATAGAAATAAAGAGAAAATAGGAACGAATGATAAATCTAAGGAACCAAATAAAGATAAATAATGACAAGACTAAGAAAAATAATAAAGCACAATAAATGAAAAAGGAAAACATAAATAACAACTAACTAAAAGAATAAAGATGATTATCAATAAAAGAAAAGAGCATAATGAAGAAAACAAGAATAACAGATCTAATAAATAATAATAATAATAAAGAAAACCGAAACAAAAGGAAGAAAGAACGTGGATGCGGGACCCTTGGGCTTGACACCCAGAGTTGGGCTCGGATTAGATAGTGAAGATGAGGTCCTTATTCCTTGATCTTGGAAATTATAGGTCCTAAATAAATAAATGCAATCTAGGGGAGAGAAAAATACCTAGGAATTTTAAATCTCGCGGTTTGAATGACTGAAAGTATTGTTTTTACCTCTGAAGTATTGTTGGAAATGGTGTCCTATATCTAGAGTTTAATGGCCAAGGTCTAGGGTTTCAGTTGGAAGGACTACAAGTTAGATACGAAACTACGGTTTTTTGTACTACAATTGGATGAAAATCAGTTGGAAAAGGCTCTATTTAATGGAAAAAAATGTCCCAAAATAAAAAGGCGGTGATTTTGGATAAATCTAGACCGACACATGTCAAAAATGCATAGTGTGTTGTTGAAATTTTTGCAGTCAGCATTACATATTGTGTCACTAAAATATTTCTTTTACAGGTTTGTTTTGGGGGTCTTGTAGAGCTAGATGGTGGTGGTCTGATTGAAATCATATACTTCTTGATGTTGCAATCAACGATTTCCTTCCTTTCTAGCTTAGAAAATGTCCATTTCTAGGATATTGGTTTCCTAAATAGGAGATTTTAAAATATTGACTTACTTATATTGGCTGTTTGGAAATATTTGGTTGCCTAAAATTAGATATGTGAAAGAAAATCAAAGGGGAATTTGACTAACCTGACATAGTGTCAAAGAATTGGGAGAAGAAAAAATAGAGTCGATCTCCCACAACTCCAAAGACTATCTGCTCTATAAACTCACCCGGGATGGGACGGGGGATGGCAACATACTCCCACGCCCAAACCTGGTTCCAAATAAGAAATGGAAAGGTAAGAGCCCAATCCGAAAAGTTTAGGGGAAATACTGATAGAATGAAAAGAGCTTTCACGTACATGAAGGAAGACCGAATATCCTCCAACATAGGTAACCTCCTCTGTAGCAATCCTGCGTAGAGAGCCTGACAAAAATAACAGGAGCCCAAACAACTCTCTCCAGGTACTCCAGATCCCTAGTAGGCAAGGCTATCTTATATTTGGCCCATCCCTTCGCCCCATCAAAGAAGATGAAGTCACCAAATAAGAACAATAAAAAAGGCCCTCGGCTCCTGGACCTCATCTATAAACATAGGATTGTACACCACCTCCATATCCACCGAGACAGTGAAAAGATCGGGCTCAGCTGCGAAAAGCTTATTCTCGCGCCATCTCCTGGTCTTGAGAGAGATCCGCCTCCTATCCTTCGCAACATGAACCTCGTCAGCATCACCCAATATATCCTCAATAGACGGACATGGTACTCCCTGCGACCTACCTCCCTGACTGCTCATGAGAGACTCCACTCTAGTCTCCAAAATTATTCTCAAGCCAGTTTAGATATATATGATATTTTCCCTTCTTCTTTCTCTCAAGAGGGGGAGAAGTTCCTAAGAGGTCCCGTCTCCCTCCTCAAGAGGGATACTCAGTAAGGGCTCTCAAATGCCCCTAGCTCTTATAATACTCACCATATCCTCAGTAGGGAAATGAATAGATTTTGCCTCCAATCTCAATCGAAGGCAGAACTCGGTTCGAAGGGAGTGATCAATAATGAATGGTCTGATCCTATAGGTCTCCTATCTAAACTGGAGATAAAAGCTCGGTCCTTCTCAGGATGGTATATAAATGACAGAAGGCCCCAATCATATAGGTCTGAAACCAAATAAATAGTCAGAAGAAGAAGAAGAAAAATCAAGACTATAAAAAATCAAGACTATATCGGAGAAGATCTCTAGCCTGATTCAAAACAGAAAATAAAAATGATTTCCCTAGGACTAGATTTCCTAGGGTGCAGATGACAAATGATCACTGGAAAGAAAAAGAACAGAAAAAATAAAAAAAAATGCACTCCCAGGATCACCCTAGGGAGACATTCACCCTAGCCCAGAAGCATGGGCAATTTGGTAATTTTTTATGTTCACCCAAGACGAGCTGTCCTGGGGAAAATGTGTGATATCTTGATAAAATTCATCATGAAACTAAATCCTAAACTAAGTTTAAGGGTCATAACAACACGTGAATAAGGCTCCCCCATAAAAATATAATAGGAAACCTACTTTCACAACATGGAAAAAATAACAGACATACTCAGAATTCCTCAAAGTAGGAAAACATTAAGTCAACATGGGAAATAGTCATTATAAAGTCTTGGAAAGGAACAATCAGTCAACTATGGTACACTAAGCCTCGCATAAGATTGAGCATGCATACTCAAAATGTCAAAGTAAATAACTTGCATGTTCAGTGCATGACCAAAAGAGATGAAAAAGTTCAGTGAAACATGCTATCGAAGTCTTGGTATGCACGTCTTCATAAGAACTTCATACTCAAAACAAACAAATTCCATATAATGGATTCCTAGTTCGAAGTTTTCTCAGCTCTATGATGACTAACAACGTAGGGAGATTCATTAAAGGAAGAAATGATTTGAAAAGCATTGAGAAGCAAGAAAATGTGTACCTGACGCGCTCCCTTCGAGCGGGAAACATGTCGATCTTTGGTCCACCATTGCTCTTGACCAATCATGTCTAAACAAGATCTGAAGTAGAAAAACTCAGAAGCACTGACCCACAGGAGAAGGAGCGTGAAATGCACCCAAAGAGACCAAAGGTGGGAGGGATGAAATGCAGAGTCCAAGGTCTCAAATAGATGAGAGAGAGAGAACAAAAATGTAAAATATGGAAAGGGGGAGGGAGGCGGCCCCCTGCCAACTTCATGCCGTGGAAGTGCACGACACACCTCAAGCCAGTCCGTACAATATGGATGGGAGAAAAAAAAAGACGAAAAAAAGCCTGAAAAATGAAGGAAAAAAAAAAAAAGGAAAGGGTAGTGGACCCCACACCCATTAAAAAAAATGGAAAAAAAAAGACTAGAAAGATTGAGCACGAGAAAAATTGTCCTTGGACCCAAAAAAATGAGGAAGTATTAAGAAAATGAGATATCGAAGATCTGATGCTTAGAATAGAGTGAAAACAGTCAAGAAAGATGCCTGGAACAATCAAAGCAGTTGTCCACAGTGTCCGGCAGATTTTTGAAGAATTAGAAAGTTTAAGACACCTTTTATCAATCATCTTCAGACTCACGTAACCTCAAGGTGACTTGAGCTGAAATGGCTCACCAATCCAATCGAAAGATATCCAAACCGTACGATGGGAAATTGTCAGGAAATCTCAAGTCAAACGGCATACTCGTGTGATGTAAAAAAAATCGAGATAGAAAGACGTCTAACTCATATGACGGTCGAAAGATAGCGTACCCAATTAAATTCAATGTCAAACCCATGCAACGAAAAACAGTCTGGGCAGGTACAAGAATGTCCATCATTGCATTACGTAAAACTAATAAGAGGGCTTAATGGTTGCACAAGCTTAAAAGGCTAACCAACATTAGATATTTCGAAAGTCCTCCCCTATCTTCAAAATTTCCCGTAAATGTTTCTACGAAGTTTTAAAAGATATTAATTTCTTCGGTTAAAGAGTAGCGTGAAACTCCATATCCCTTTAAAAAATCCTACCAATCTTAAAAATCTTCTAAAATACTATAAAAAGCGAAAGACTTTCAAAGTGGCTTGAACACTATGTTTTTGCCGCCACCAGACATTAAATGCCATGCATGCAAACCCTTAGGAAAGAAAAACCAACCCATAGGTTCCTAAAACAAAAGCAAAAAACTGTGATGCAAGAATCAGAATCAAAGGTGGACAAAAAAGTTTAATTAGCTAGGAATTCATCATTCCATCATTTCTTCTAAATCATAATCTCATTCCACTGGAAAACTAGACCCCAAGAAAAAAGGTATAAAGTTGAAGATGACTACACTGAGGTCCTAAGTAGCATTAGGGTGACTACAGCAAGGAGTTTCACCGACTCAAAAATAACACAGTTCATATTGACTTTCACTTCGGATCCCGATTATTGGAGACCTCTCAATGCTACTATTTGATAGTGCAATTCCAGTTTGATATTTTAAAAATCAAAAGCATCCATCGGCATACTGCCTCCCTTAAAAGATACTGGTCAATTGAAATAATGACTCCTCGAAAAAAGTTTATTTTGATCATGTTATTGGTGTTCACTTCTTTGCTATTCATATGATACCCAGGTGAATGCCAAAAATGAGCAACTGTATACACTACCCCTCAAAATTCATTATGATTCCAAAAGACACACGAATCCTAGTAGACTATAGGTGATCTAAATCTAGAAGAATTATCTTAAAAAAACTATCCGAAAACTTTTTCCAAGTTGGAGTAGACCTTGAAAGCTTTTAAATGGCTTAAGAATAACCCAAATCGGATCCGTACATATTAAAAGTTACAAGCTTTAAAAGTTTTAAGACCAAAATTACCAAATCACCCCTAAATTTGGGCCAAAGTGACATGCACGACGCGTCACACCTTAGGCTGGCAGTGTAAGGCTCTTTGCCTCATGCAACATGTTCGACCGTACATCACTTGGCTCAATGAGCCGAAACGTGGCCTGATTGATCGAGGACATATTTTGACTGGGAATATTTTACCAAGAAAAATATAGAAAACTACAAAAAATAACCTAATCCTAATCTTAATTGAACTATGAGATTAAATCAATTAATTTCAACCTTAACCCTAATTCAAATTTATAAATACCCCTTACAAAATTTATTTAAAACCCTACACAAAAATATGAAAAATACATGCACATGGATAGAAAATCCATAGAAATTCTTAGGAATTTTGAAATCAGGAAAATCCTTTAAAAATTCCTAAAAACCTAGAAAAAATAGATAAAAAGTCCTTAAAAATCCAAAAATTGGAATTTTATTTTAAGAGAAAAAATATTAAAAAACTAAGGAAAACCTCTTCCTAACCCTCAGAAAACCTAAGTAGACCCTACCTAAAAATCCATAGCCTTCTCCGAAGCCTTTAGAAACCCTAGATTTAAGTGAAAGACCCTTAGATCTACCAATTCTAGCAAGCAAAAGGCATCTAAAAGGAGATAGAAGCACAAGAAGTGTAGCCAGATCCAAGCGTGAAACTCTAAGTTTCGGGGCTCTAAAAGTAAGTGTCTATTTCTCTACCTAATTTAGTTTATTTTATTAATTTAATTTAGCTTATTTTCTTGTAATTTTCTATTATTTATGAGTTAGTAAAATTTAGAAGTGTTTTAAAAGCAATATGAAGTTGGCGTTGTTAGTGGACTTAAGAAAGAATCAGTTCTGAATATATCTATGTTGCTTCTGAGCCCATAATTTGAGTGACCCCACATTCTCTACTTTTTCATAAATTTTCAATTTTGTAAAAATTTGAGTTGATCACATCTAAATATCGACGTAGATCGGAGTATAAACACTTGTCAAATAGAGTCAAATTACCAAAACGCTAATGCATATTTAGGATTCCTAATTTTAAATAAATACAATCCGTGGTACTTGATTAAATGAAATTTAATGATTTTGTAATAGAATGGGAAGATTGCATAAACCCCTTACATTGGAGTTTTTACGATTAGGATCCCTACTAATTTTATTATTACACCCAATACCTTGTTACTACGTTCTCTTGCATTGACCTCGGGGTGAATTTTTGGGCCATTTCATATGAAAATGCTCATCACAGTCAAATATGTGAAATTTAATTTACAGCGTTTTTATGGCTGTGTTTCAGTCGCAATTGGAGTGTGTTTGGGACTCCCAAGTGTGATTTGACCTCGATTCATAAAACATAAAGGTTTTAAAACTAATTATCATATGTTTGACTATGATAGGTATTTTTATAAAGAACGACAAAAAAAATATTTATTTGGAAAGTATCAAATAGACTGCAATTGATAAAACATTAAACATAAAAAAAGCTTTAAACTAATGGGATTGTATACAATGAGACCATTTACCTTGATATAAAATGGTCACAATTCTTTACAATCATTTGATGTGAAATTTGATAGCTTTGGATGTGATACAAAATTCGAAAGTTTTTTTTTTTAAGTTTGAACTTGATCAATCAAATAATTGTAACCACCCAATTTCATATCTAATGATCAAGATTAATGTGACCACCTTATATGTAAATGGTCACATTCTATACTTTTCTTAAATTAATTATTGCATTTGTGGGGTTTTTTATCCAAAATAATAAAAAAAATTATTGGGAAGTGGATGCAAAGAAAAACGATGATAAAGTATTGAGGGCAATGACAAAACTAGTACCAAAGTATTGTGTAATAAATGGAAGAAAGTCTTGCGTAAAAATTTAGGAGAAATAATATATATACCACCTTTAAATAGGGTTACTATGCAGTGGCCCATATTTTAACAAATTTTACGTAAAAGTCAACCCTACATGCTCTATCTTAATTTTTCAATTTTACCCCTCAATTCACCGTCCCAAATATTAGATTGCTTTTTTTTAATTTTTTTTATTTTTTATTTTTAAAAGTATTGGGCCATCCATCTAGCGAGGGACAACTTAAAGTTATGCCCGACGATTCCAACATCGAACCACATTAAAGTTGGGTTGTTTGATGTCCCAAACATTATAATGCCCTACAAAAGCTTTATTAAAGTTGGGCTGTTTGATGTCCCAAACATTATAATGCCCTACAACAGCTTTATGGTCAAATCGACGTGGAAACAAAACATTGAACATGTCTCTTAGCATGGATCAACATATTTAAATGATGGCCAGATATTGCGAACATCAAAATGTCAATGAGTCGAACTTTTGCATAAAAAAAGAGCTCCATTCACAGTTCGATATTAGCAATATAGGATTGTTATTTAAATAGTTGATATTTCTAGCATCGAACCAAATGATAATCAACCTGTTCGAGGTTTTGAACGCTGATGTAAATATTAGACATACCCCAAATTGTCCTCTAACTGACATCTCTACACTTTAGAAAAATTTTTAAAAAATTATAAAATATTGGTATGATATTTAGAACATTGGATTGAGGGGTAAATTTGAAAAATTAAAGAATGCACACGTAAGGAGTATTATATAGACACCAACACATACGTTCATATTTAGTACGTATCAAAGTGCCTTAGTATACATGATTAAAATATCAGTACTTTGTAACATGTATATACGACCATTACTTTGGACGATGTTACTATATAACTCTTTTAAGACACTAATTGCACATTGTCCTGGTGATAGGAATCCTCTTTGAGCACCCATCTAAAAGGTTGTGTGATTAAAGTGAAAGCTGGACAAGGTGATCTAATACGATATTTAATTTTTTTCTTTTCTACCAGCTAGAACACTTACAAATGTCCAAATAAAATTAAATAAAGTACAAAAAAAAAAAAAAGAGGTTCTCACTTGTTATCACTAATAAAAACTTTATTTATTTAATAAACAAAAATAGCATAATGTTTATGGAAATAAGAAATCACAAGACTATAAGCCATAAAACAAGATGTCAGAAGATTACCTCAACTGGATTTTGCACACCCCGATATGGGTCTCCTCATGTGATGGCGCACGAGACTTGGTACAAGACTAGACCTCAATGTCTACTATCAGGTGTACCCACCTTGGGACTACAATGGCTAGGGCGTGTCCTGCTATTTTTCTTAATTCCATATTTTCTAACTTTAGAGAGATATGAGAGAACAAGAGAGAGATAAAAAAAGGTGGCATGCCACCTAGAGAGAGGAGAGAGAGAGAGAGATCTATGGTGTAGAGAAAAAAAGACCTTCATGGCTTATTTATAAAAAATTTTTAGGGTTAGCCATCCTTATGGGGAATAGATCCAGGTCATTGATCATAG